GCTACTAATGGAAAAACAATTCTGCATTTCTTGAGAGAGGATCCTAATCTCCCTGGGTTCGTGTGCGTTCAGAAACCAAGATTGTTAGAGTGGAAAACTTTGCCAATGGATAGTTTTTCCAGCTTGAGATCTTCGGTTCAATAATGGACAGTTAAAAATCCAAGGAGCTGGGACTAAGTGACTTCAGGCACGTGCACATGCCTTTGTGGGGCACACAAGTCAGGCGTGTCGCACTCCCATTCCTCAAGCAGAGAGCTGTTGGGAAACGACGTGAGAGAAGACGTGAGAGAATTAAATGTCTTCAACAATGCCGAATGCTTCCTTTTCTTTCCTAAATATATCACCCCCTAAATCTTTTTATGGATATTCCAAAGTGGAGATGACAAATTTCAGGAATTTCCCGGCAACTTTGGAACTACCTCACTGGCTTTCTATTCTGTTTTTCAAACAATTCTACTACCTGTGCAGTCAATTCTAAGATGCAGGCGGCTCTATATCCCAGTTGGTTTTCTCTAGGATTTTATTTCAAAATCTTGTGCTTCTATCCTGATTACTTCCTCAGCTGGAAAATTGGTCCATATCCTGAAGTGAAGGGAAAGGAAAAAGGAAGTGGTCTCCATTGCCGCGTTGGTGGTCTACCGGGCCAGCTTTCTGTCAGTCCTGCTCACACAGTCCTGTACTCCTCTCTCGGGTCCTTCTGCTTTGATGAGCAGCACTGAATCTTCAGTGTCTGTCTTGCCTGTGTAATCATATCAGCCAAGGTTATAGCTGGGTGCAGAAATCAGAATAGGGATTTCTGGCAGAAAGGGATATTCTGCTTGCAAATCCTGCAAGAAAATGCATGGGTAATTTTTAATGCAGACTATACATATAATCACCCAGGACCTAGAGACTGCACTCTTGGGTTGAAAGAAAACTTAGGTTCACGCACACAAAACATGTACATGAATGTTCCTAGCAGCTTTGTTCAGCACAGCACTGGACTGCAAATAGCATTGATATTCTGCAACAGGTGAATGGTTTAACAAACTATAGTACATTCCACACCACAGAATACCACAGTCTACAATAAAGATGAGTGAATTACACCCACAAATCTCAAGGAAAATTAGTCTGAGTGAAAAAAGCCAGTCACCCAAATTTAAAACTGCATAGTTCCATTTATAATACTCTTGGAATTTCAAAACTGCAGAAACAGAAAATAGAACGGTGACTTTCAGGGTTTGGGGATTTGGTGGGAGAGAGGCTATGAGCTTATAAGGAATGACAGAAGACATTCTGACGATGTTAGATCCTTCCATAACTCAACTGCGCCGAATGTACAAAAGCACACTTGCAAAAAACCTTGTAGATCTGAACACACACATGTATGCACAACTGAGTAAAAAACTTAGAAGAAGTAACTGTGCCAACTTCTGTTCTTGTGTTGTGCTACAGTTCTTGAAGATGTGCTCACATCACTCTGTTCTTACAAATCACTCGAGTGTAAAAATACCAATTAAAAACTGTTACGGGGGGCTGGCACAATAGCTGAGTGGCTTAAGTCCTCACCTTGCATGCACCGGGATCCAATATAGCTGCCAGTTTATATTCTGGTGCCCCCACTTCCAGCTCTCTGCTTATGATCTGGGAAAGCAGTAGAGGATGACCAAAGCCTTGGGACCCTGCACCAGCATGGGAGACCTAGAAGAAGTTCCTGGCTCCTGGCTTTGGATGAGCTCAGCTCTGGCCATTGTGGCCAGCTGGAGAATGAACCAGTGGATTAAAGATCTTTATCTCTGTCTCTCCTTCTCTGTAAATCTTTCTTTCCAATAATAATAAAGAAATCTTAAAAAAAAATGTTTATGGGACTTGTATGACAACTGAACTGGCTAATCCTCTGCCTTGCAGCTGCTAGCATCCCATATGGGCACTGGTTTGTATTCTGGCTGCTCCACTTCGAATCTAGTAAGAAAAAAACAAACAATCATGTTTACAAGTATGGTAGGGACTGGAGTCAGAGGCGCATCACCAGGAGCTGATGTCAAGGGTAGCCACCCTAGCTGCAGATAAGAATTCAGGAAACTACTCCTGCAGTTGCTGCGGCTACATTGCTGCTACCCCTTCTGGCTCTCACAGCCACGGGACTGGTAATGAGAACCCCACTAGCAGGCTGGCTGGCACAAACTCTCATTTCAGTGAAATGAGAGGCAGAAAGCTTACTTGTTTCACTGTCACCTGACAGACAGAGCAGGAACATATTGGATTGGTAGAACTCAGTTTGCTTTCAATATGTTAGATGCAAAATGATCTGGGAAATGTGGGCTTTGGCATTGTAATTTTTCCAAATAGCACATGGCATGAAGCATGAGAAAGTCAACTGTAATATCTACTATAACTAACCACTAGGCATGTGACACTGTGAGTTGATTCATCTTCCTCATCCTCAATTTCTGAATCTATGACACACAATCATTATCAGATTAACACTGTAGATTGATCGAGACATGATACATGCCTGGCACATCTTATATGCTTTGGCGATCCATGCTAGTCATTGTCAATGTTTTTTCAATCTGCAGAGAAAGGAGACAGTTTTGAGGGGACAACAGGGCATTGCTCCTGAATACTTGGTTTTGACTCAATGGTAAGAGATGAGAGATGTGCTCAAAGTTGTGTAACATGAAAGTACTGCATCCAACCAGAGAACATGGATTTGGTGGCTTCCTCTGGTCTTCCTGCTTGGTATTGAATTACAATGAACATGCTAGAAAAGTCATAAAGTGATGAACCATCACATCACCTCACACTGTGGCTCCGGAGAACGCTCTCTCCTCTCTTGTTGAGCCTTCGGCATGGCGTTCAGATATGATTTGGAGCTTAGCAGGTAGGGTAGAAAAGCATCCAATCAGCAACAACATTTATCTGCTTCCATTAAAATACACCATGATTTTGCTGAATATTAGAATATCCAGAGTATTTTTCCCTTAAGTCATGTACTTTGACCATTTTTTAAAGAGATTATTTGAAAGACAGAGTCGCAGAGAAAGGGAGACAGATCTTTGATCTGCTGCTTCACTTCCCAGGTGGCCTCAATGGCTAAGGCTAGGCCAGGGCCAAGCGGCAAGCCTGGAAATCCATTCCGGTCTCCCAGTTGGGTGGCAAGGGCCCAAGTCCCAGGTCTCCTTTGCTGCTTCCTAAGGTACATTAGCAGAGACCTGGACCAGAATTAGAACAGCCTGGGCACAGAAAGGCATTCATATGGGATGCCAGTGTTAGAAGCAGCAGCTCAACCCACTGCACTATAGAGCTGGCCCCTTGCTACCAAACTTTGGTTTAAGATTTATTTTTTTTTTTCTTGAAAAGCAGATTTACAAAGAGAGAAGGAGAGACCGGAGAAAGATCTTCCATTCACTGGCTTACTCCCCAAGGAGCCACAAAGGCCAGAGCTGAGCAAATCTGAAGCCAGGAGCCAGGAGCTTCTCTCACATGGTTGCAGGATTGCAAGGCTTTGGGCTGTCCTCAACTGCTTTCCCAAGCCACAAGCAGGGAACTGGATGGCTGGTGGGACTGTAGGGATATGAACTGGTGCCCATATGGGATCCCAGCCTGCATGGTGAGGACTTTAGCCACTAGGCTACTGTACTGGGCCCTGGAACAATTTTTTTGTTTTTTTAAAGCCTTAATACTTCTGCCATTTTGGTCTAGACCATCATTTGTTGAGGCAGGATATTTGGTGCTTTGTTGGACACTGAGCCACAAATCTGGAGTAGCAAAACTCCAACTATAACAACAAAAAGATGTGTGCAGGTGTCTGTCCCTTGGGGTGTTAAATCCCTCAGCCCACATTTAGGAAGCACCATACCAGAGTGAAACAGTGAGGCCCACGGCCCTTTGAACCTTCTGCTAAGCAGTCTGTAGTTTTTCTTTCAGTTAACCTAATTTTGTTAGCCGGCCTGAATATCACTGGCAAAATAACAAGCACTCCCACAACTAACCTAGCCTTGTCGAAGAAGCAAGCAAGAAAACGCATCTTCCTCCTAGCAGTCGGCTGTCATTCACATGATGATGTCAGATTGGGTAGTTCAAAATGTGAGTGCACTTGGTACTTGGAGACAGGCTGCTGCAAGAGGTAATTCAGTGAAAACGTGCTCATTGGAGCATAGAGACCTTGGCAACCGGAAGCTTGGGCACGGTCACACACACAGAGGGAGGAGGCGGCCTCCACAAGGTCAATGTTTGGGGACAAGGAGGGCATCCCCCAAGGGCCCTGAACGCTGCCCATCTTCCGCAGCCTCCCAGACGCTGTGGTTCAGTCACCTTTCCCGTGGTATCTCGCCGAGGCAGCCCTGGCAACCCAGTAAACTGTCTTCAGGGAAGTTTTCTAGAGAACGACTCTTCATTGTTCAACCTCCCATAGCCTGTCTGACCTTAAAGATGTTCCAGCCTTCACAAGGTTCATCTTCCTTCCGTTGACTTCCACACACCTGCTGGCCTGCTCCACTGCTTTCCCTGTCCCAAGGTGCAGCTGCCAAGACGAAAGCCTCTTTAATTAGACGCCGACAGCAGGTGCCACACTTTGCTCTGGAGTTGTTCTTTGAAAATCGGAACCTGCAAAGTCTCCACTGAGAGGCCCTGTAAGGCTGGTGGACTTCAAGACTCCTCAGCCTAGCCATAGAACAGAAACCAGCCATCACTGTCAGTGCTCCACGCCTGGCTGTGGCTCCTCTCAGCATCCTCGGGGGACCCCGGAAGCGCCTGGAGGAGGTGGATTCGGGGTTGCCGCCGCCGACCGGCCTCGTCCTCCCTCAGGCTGGCCCAGGCGCCGGCCCCAGCAGCCTCCCGGGCCCCGGTGGGCCGGCCCTTCCCGCGCGGCCGGCGGCGAGGCGTGGCGAGGCGGCAGCGGCGAGGGGGCGGGGCCTGCCGCCGTGGCGTCGCCGGCTGACGCGGATGACGCGGCGCCCGCCAGGCCCTCGCGGCCCGGCCTCCCGGGCGGCCCTGTCAGACGGTGGCTGCGGGCCGCGCGGCGTGCTCGGGCTCCTGCAGCTCCCGCCTCCCACGCTCCCAGCCGGCTCGGGCCGCGCGCGCTCCAGTCGGCTCGCCCCGCCTCGCGCTCGGCCGCACCGGGCCGCCCCGCCGCTCCATGGCACACGCGCAGCCGGCTCGCTGCCCCAGCCCGCGGGGATCCGGGGATGGCGGCATGGCCAAGTCTAGGAAGGTGGCGCTCATCACGGGCATCACCGGCCAGGTGAGTGCGCCGGCGGGGGGCGGCCGGGCGCCGGGGACAGCCCCCTCTGGCCGTCCCGGAAGGTGCCCGCCGCGGGGAGGGCGGGCCCCGAGTGTGCTTGGGGGTGTGGGCTGCGTGGAGGGGTGCACCGAGCGCGTGGCTCTGGCGCACCTCTGGGCTGGAGACCGCTCGGGATGCGGTCCTTGCACCCCGCGTGCCCACGCCCCGCGCACCTGTGCGCCAGGTGACCCGCGCTGGGAATGAATGGTCTCGGAATGTCGTTCTTTGCAGGGTTGCTAACCTTGAGCGGGCTTAGAAAGTAGATAAGGGTCTCCCTGGCTGTTTGGGTCCTCCCCACTTTCCACCCAACGAGGAAATTTCCAGATTAAATAAATATAAAGCAGTGCTGTGGAGTCGCAGGCTAGGAGAAGTTGCAATCATGGGAGCTTCAGAGATTCACGTGTGTGCTTTTGGAGGCGTGTGGGACAGACTGGACCCGTGGAGGCTAGGGTTCCATTTCCAAAGAAAGGCCATGGTTGGCAGATCCTCAGGTGGGGCTGTCCTGCAGGTGGGAACTCTGTGCGGTAGGCTGGCCCTGCCTGGTTTGTGACATTTATCACTTGCGACAGGTAGGCCCTGGTGGTGGCCAGTACAGGACGCGCGATGAGAATCACACCTGATATGTATTGTACTTAGCCTATTCTACTCAGTTGATTACTGTTAACTCATTTGTTATGGCAACGAACTCCCCACGGCTATACTTTTAGTCTGTGCGTTATAGATGTGGACTTGAAGCATCAGTTTTTGGGTTCTCCTGCGTCTTTGCTTTGCGTGAGGTCCTTTCCGTTGACAAGCGTTTGAACGCTTCCAGGAGGTGGGTAGGGCCAGGATCTCCGGTGTGAGACCACTGAAGTTCAGCCAGTTGAGGCAGGGCAGGGTGGCCAGCATGGTGGCTTAATGAGCTGATCTTCTGTGATGCCAGCATCCCCTCTCAGGTGCTGAGGACAGCCCCCTACCCTGCTCTCAGCCCGAGTTCCTGCCGATGCCCCTGGGAAGGCAGTGCTCTATTGGCCGCACCACCCTCGGAGGAGACTGGGAAGGACTTCCTGGTGGCTCTTGACTTTGGCTTGCTTGAGAGGTGGCTGTTGGAACCGTTTGGGGATGGAACCCGTGGGAGGAAGGTTCCTTCTCTCCCTCTGTCACTCTTTGATTGGGGCCTACCTATTGCCTTTTTTTCTAATGCTGGGGACCTTAATGCTGATGAATCTTTCCTAGTTTCTCAGCTTTGATCTGAAACTTGCATGTGCACCACGTTTACATAATCTCTTGAAAGCCTATGATTGTAAAAGAAATTTGTGAAGATGTTGATGCATTGTATTAGTATGACTTATACCACTCCGAATATGAACCAGTACAAATTAGAAACCCCAGCTTCGTTGGCCTCTGAGAGCAGTAAATCAGGTTGGTACCGGGCGGCCACTCAGGTGTGGAGTCCCTGAGTGTCTTCTGCTGGCAGGCTGTCGCAGGGACTGTGCGTGAAGCGTGGTGCTCAGCGTTGCCCTCCTGCCACAGGTCTCTTTAGCCTCCTGCTTTATTTAAGCACCTGCTTGGCTGGCAGGCCTTCTCCGGGGGCTGCCTCGGTGTTCCTAACTTGGTTGCAGCGTTTTGGCCCTGTCTGCAGTCGTGCTGCTGACATCTGTAGGCCTTCGCACAGCAGCGGATTCTGCTGGTGGACTCACTCTGTTCTATGTTTTTTGTTTCTCTTCTAGGACATGAGGCCCACCCAGGGTACCAACATCTCTGGAGGCTTGTGACTTTAACACAAGGATGGACTCTTTATTGTACATTTTCTTAATACGGCTGCTGAGAACTTTACCGTTTATCTGTAAATGGGTGTTTATCTGTAGCTCTCTCTACAAGGCAGGTGTATCTTGTATCCTTGTTTTACACCAGAAACTGAGGCAGGTTCAGCTTGTTGTTTGAGCGCACTTGTTCTCCACAGCTGAGATGTGAACTGGGGACTCAGACTCCAGAGCAGTTACTCCAAACCGCCATCACTGTGTCGCTAGCAAGTCACGTGCCTTAAATTCTGAGAGAGTTCTCAGATTCGAGGCTCCCTGCTCGGGCCTTGAGGGCTGCCGTGGCAAATGAGTCAGCATGCCGATATGGATAATTCCGGATTTTCACTTGAAAGTAGTGCAGGGCACACAGCATGGTGACTCAGTGGCTGACTGCCCACCTTGCACATGCCAGGATCCCATATGGGCACTGGTTTATATTCCAGCTGCCCCGCTTGCCATCCAGCTCCATGCCTGCCTGTGGCCTGGGAAAGTGCCTTGGGACCCTGCACCCATGTGGGTGACCCAGAAGAGGCCCCGGCTTTAGATTGGCTCAGCTCCAACCGTTGTGGCCATTTGGGGAGTGAACCAGTGGACAGAGGATCTTTGTCTCTTCCCTCTGTAAATCTACCTATTCAATAAATTAAAAAAAAAATCTTAAAAAAAAAGGTGATGTAGGCAGCTGAAGTGTCCTCTGATGCTTCTGCAGTATAAAAGAATGTTTCAAAGAGATCATAGAATAATGGAATTGAAAGGTATGCTTATTTGGTGCAAACAACAAAAACAAAAAAATGAAAATCCAGGGGCCAGTGCCATTGCACAACAGGCACTCTGCGTGCAAGTGGTGGCATCCCATGTGATGCCAGTTCATGTCCTGGCTTCTCCACTCCCACTCGGCTCGCTGCTTATGAGCTGGGAATAGAGCAGTGGATGGCCCAAGCCCTTAGGACCTTTGGCTGCGTGGGAGACCTGGAAAAGGCTCCTGGCTGTTGGCTTCATACCGGACTATCTCCAGCTGTTGTGGCCATTTAATGAGTGAATCCGCAGGTGGAAGATCTTTCTCTGTAAATCCGCCTTTTCAATAGAAATGAATGAATCTTACCCCCCCCCCCCCAAAAAAAAATCCTTGCACAGCGACCTGGTACAGTAGGCTAACGGTGAAAGTCCTCACCTCTCATGCACTGATCCCATATGAGTGTCGATTCTGATCCTTGCAGCCCTGCTTCCCATCCAGTTCCCTGCTTGTGACCTGATTAAGCAGTAGAGAACGGCCCAAAGCCTTGGAACCCTGCACCTGCATGGGAGGCCAGGAAGAGGCTCCTGGCTTTGAATCGGGGCAGCTCCAGCCATTGTGGCCCCGGGGGAGTGAATCAGTAGACAGAAGATCTTCCTTTCTGTCTCTCCTCATTATATATCTGACTTTGTAATGAAAATAAAATACATCTTCAAAAAAAAAATCCATGCATTTTTTAAAACAATATGCATGAGCTTTTTGAAGCAATACTCTTTATACCTCTTTGAAGTATATATTCACATGCATACATTTTGAAGCATATACTCTTAGGCTTCTTATTCTAACTTCCCTTCCTACCCATCTTTTTCAAAAAAAAATATTGATTTATTTTATTTGGAAGGCAGACACGGAGAATGAACTCCCATTGCTTGGTTCACTTCCCAGGTAGTTAGAATAGCCAGGGCTGGGCCAGGCCAAGCTTAGCAGCCAGGAACTCAATGCAGTTCTCCCCTGTGGGTGGCAGGGGACCGGTCACTGAGTCGCCTGCTGCCTCTCAGGCCCACGCTGGCAGGAAGCTGGAGTGGACAGCAGAGGTAGGACTTGACTGTGGACACTGCAGTGTGGCGCATGGGGCTCCACGGGGACGCCTTAATCACCCACTGTGCTAGGCAGCTACTCCTGTTCCTACACACTCATTTAAATGTGTGTGTATGTTCATTTTATTTGACAGGTAGAGAGAGAGACATGATTTTTTCCCTTTGATAGTTTAGGGGGAAGCCTGGAGCCTGGAACTCAAAGCAGGTTTCCTCGTGTATGGGGGGACCCGAGTGCCGAGCCATCGCCTCTTGCTTGTCAGAGTGAGGTTTGCTGAAGCCGGTGCTGGTTTTGGACACAGTATGGACTCCAATGTGGGATGTGCTTATGCTAGGGGCGTCTGACCTGCCGCAGCAGGTGTCTGCCCCTCTCCTATCCGTTTTTTTTTTTTTTTAAAAACAATTTATTTTTATTGCAAAGTCAGATATCTAGAGAGGAGCAGTGACAGAGAGGAAGATCTTCCGTCTGTTGATTCACTCCCCAAATGGCAGCAACGACCAGAGGTGAGGTGATCTGAAGCCAGGAGCCTTTTCCAGTTCTCCCACATGGGTGCAGAGTCCCAAGGCTTTGGGCCATGCTCAGCTGCTTTCCCAGGCCACAAGCAGGAAGCTGGATGGGAAGCGGGGCCACTGGGACTGCAGCTAGCACCCATATGGGATCGTGGACATGCAAAGTGAGGACTTTAGCCGCTAGGTTACTGTGCCAGGCCCTCTCCTACCTATTTTTGACAAATATTTGTTAATCCTTTTCCAGAGGTTTGCCTTCTCCAGTTGCTTTTAAGCAAATCTTAGCCATGGCTTTACTGTGTTTCCAGGCCCTCGGCCAGCCATCCCATAGCTCACCTCCATCGTTAAATGGTTATGGCTGTTTGCTGTAGCCACGGAGATGTTCTTGCGGTTCTTTGAATGCTGTGGTCTTGTGACTCTTTGCAGTCATTATTTGTGGCCGAATGGCCAAGACTTCTTCTTTTATCTTGACTGAGCGCCTCAGTGTTTTTAGATGAAGCTTCTGCAGGGATTTCCCGTATATTGTGTATGTACAGTCTCTCTTGCTTGTATCTGCCATTTACATAGCTTCCTTCTTCTTTCAGATTATAAACTGCCTCGAAGATAGAGAGTTCATTTCCAGTCTGTTACGTCCCACATGGCTTCACATAGAGGACTTGGAAAATGCTGAGCTATTTTTCTATTCACAGAGCACACCTTCGCTCTGACTGTACTGTGCAGGCAGTTTTGATGCTAAGGAGGAGGGAAGCATGCCGTAGCCTCCAGCATCTTACAGGCTTGAGGAACCCAAGCCAATGCACGTGAAAAGACAGTGCAAGAGAGACAGGAAAAATCAGCATTGCGTGGTGA